ATAATGCTGCCTGGCTGCCCTAGCAGCAGAAAATTGAAGCTGTGGTAGGAGAGAAGCATTTGGGTCAGTTGTTATGACGTTTTTATTGATGGAAGCAAAGACATAGGTGTGTTAATGTCTTTCAGTGAAATTTATAGGAGCTTTGAGAAAGAACAAACATACTATGCCTTGTAAATGTGACTTTATAGGCAAAATTGTCCCAGAGGTTTCTAGTAACCGTTAGTAATGAACAGACATTAACCAGTTCTCCTCGGCATTTTCACAGGCATGAAACTCTGCATCTGGAGTACTGCGTCCAGTTCTGGGCTCCCCAGCTCAAGAGGGACAGGGATCTTCTGGAGAGAGTCCAGTGGAGGCCACAAAGATGATGAGGGGCCTGGAGCATCTGCCTTACGAGGAGAAGCTGAGAGAGCTGGGACTCTTCAGCCTGGAGAAGAGCAGACTGAGAGGGGACCTTATCAATGTCTATAAATATCTGAGATGTGGAGGCCAAATGGATGGGGCCGGGCTCTTTTCGGTGGTGGCTGGTGACAGGACAAGGGGCAATGGGCACAAATGGGAACACGAAGTTCCACACAAACTTAAGGACAAATTTCTTTACTGTGAGGGTGATGGAGCACTGGGACAGGCTGCCCAGAGGGGTTGTGGAGTCTCCATCTCTGGAGATGTTCAAAACCGGCCTGGACACTTTCCTGTGTAACCTGGAATAGGGAACCTGCTTTGGCAGGGAGGTTGGACTAGATCTCCTGAGGTCCCTTCCAACCCCCACCATTCTGTGATTTAAAAAAAAAAGTCTAAATGTGCCTGCCATTTCATATTAACTTTCTCAAGAACCGTATTTTATAAAACTTTCCAAAATTCAGATAACTTTTTTTTTTTTTTTTTTTTTAAGCATAGTTACTACTTCTAAGACTTCCACGCAGGAGATGGTAGTGTAATTTACAGGAGATGGCTGGTTCACAGAGGCTAAAACCTGCATTAAGTGAAGGCACATAAATGTTAGAAACAAAAAAAAAAAAAAAAAAAAGAGCACCTAGTTCTGGCTCCAGAAGAATGGATGTGATTTATTCTAGGAAAATGTCTGTTGTCTGTAATGCATGGCTCTGTTGTGTCTGAATTGTATCTGCAATTAGTTAGATTCTTTGCTTTTTCTCAAGAAAGCACAGGATCTTATCAGGAGATTTTGAGATACTTGCATTTTGCACTAGCACCCAATTCTCTCCCTTTTCTTGCCTTTTTGCTTCCCGGTTTTGCTTCAGACACATACAAAAGATGCAGAGGCAACAAAACAAAGATTCTGGTCTTACTTCTAAGTTAAGAGATATTCAAAGAAGGGGACTCAGACTGTGTCATGCTGTCATCCAAATGTCACACACTGGCTCTGGATGTTTTTATGCATTGGTAAAGTCAAAACTGGTGAAGTGAAAAAAAGTCCCTAAGTCAGTATCTTAAGTCATACAACTTTGATCTCATACTATCACAACTCCAAACACTATTATTCTAGTCCCAACTAGCTTTGATTTGTACTAAAAATTGAGATGGAGTTCTGCACATTTGCCTCCTATGACCTGTCATAAACCTCAGCTTTGATGCAAAAATCAAAACTGCCTCATGCAGGTCTCTCTCCCTCCTTGACATGCCACAGAAGTAGCTATTTTTGCTTCATCGTTTGCTCAATAAAGTCATGTCAAGTACACTATGAAGTTTGTAAGATGTGAGACTAGAAAGGATAGTATGCAGAGATTTAATACTCCAGGCACCATTTCTTGCCAGCTATCCTTGCAGTGGCCCAAAGCTCGAGCCACCAACTCTTGCTGAGGGCAAGGTGAAAACCATAGGTGAAAACCTCGCATAAGTTGGCTCCTAAACTAGCTTCAGGCCTAAGCTTGAGCTTCTAGTCTGAAGACTTGAGCTATCAATAATGCCAGGCTATTAGCAAGGAAATCAACTGCTAATGTTTTAAGCCTTCTTGCTGCTTCACTATATGTAATTGAGTATTTTAATCATGTTATTAACAAAGACTGAGATGTATTTTATGCCTATTAGCTGAGGATAAGAATAAAGATGTTTTTCAGTCAGCTCTAAGTGTGGCTCTTTACATCATATTTTCCCCTCCAAGGAATCTTATGTCTTCAGTAATTGTATGTGTATATGACCCTTCTTGTTTTCTAGAGAAAAGAGCTCTTACTGTAGTGTCCCATTTAACATGAACACAGGCAAAAGAACATAATGTATTTTTTTATAGTCAAGTCTTCCAGCAATTGCTGAACTCCACAATTGTCTGCCTTATGGAACTGAGCTGGTGGCTGGGAGACAGAGAGAATTCCCTGCTCATTCCAGAAGACATTGCTTATCTTAAAGGGACAACTTTCTCAGGCCATCACCCAGACTACCAGTTCATTCCCCAAATCCCCCTCCCCTTTCTTCAGTTACTTATTAAATCACTGTTTTTTCAACAGGAAGCCCAAGAAATGACTGTTCGCTCTGAATATAGGATTGTTCATATTTAGAGTATTTATTGTGGCAAAACAAGTCATAGGTTTCCTTTTAAAGACTTTTTTCCATGTTTGGGAACAAATGGACTCTACATGAAGAAAGGGAAAACTGTATCTTGTTTTGGAAAGAACACTGAATCAGGGCACATGCAAAGTTCAGTCTTTTAAACAGTTTTCTCTCAAAATGTATCATTAGTTTTGTTTGGCTTCTCTAGTTTGTAAACAACTATGTAATCAATGAAAATATATTTAGCCTACCTTTAAAAAGAGGTGTCTCCAGTATTAATTGGTAGTAGTAAAATCATATGCAAGACAAAAATATTAGGATCTAGCATGCTTGTCCTTTAACAAGTTCTATTCCAAAATTATATTACACATTAATTTCAACTTTGTAAATGTTGCATAATCTCAAATCTTTGAGTAGTCAGACAGTGATAAAAATGATTAAGAAACCAGACAACTTTTCTGTATTGTGAATGCTATTCATTTCAAACATTACTTGCTAGTAAAGTGCCGTTACAAGCAAAATGAAATTGTTAGTGTCTATCAAAAGCAGATGACATTTTAGGAATACTCAAATTGTATTTGTTTTGGCAAATAGTTAAAAGCTTAGACATGTTCGTTTCACCACCCAAAACTAATTCAGTATAAATAATATTGGTTTCCAATAATCCTATGCTAAAAGGCACATACTAATGTTCCAGCAGTTCATTCAAGTGAGCTTTTGCATGTAGAGGTTTAATTGTGCTTTTAAATAGTTACTGTTTCATATGACCTTGAAAGTGACATTTGTGCATGTCTAAAATACCTTCTCACAAATGAATCTCACACTCTGAAGGTGTAATTTCATTAAGATTATATATATCTATATAACTATGCTTGTTGATCTCTACAGATCTACATAGATATACACATATACATATATTCATACATACACACACAAAAGGATATCTTCTGGAACAGCAGCAGAAAGTGCAGTCTATACTTTTTTGAATTGTCTTCATAACAGAAAGTTCTCGGTGCCGTTTTCAGCCATGAATTGTCTTGGGATTTGTGAGATCCAAGGGACTATTTGTGATATTGCATGTGTCCCACATTACTCTCTTTCCTTACAGGCTGCTTCAAGCTCACTTCACTTCCAGAAGAGATGATTGGCAAATTATTTTCCATGTGATACTGAATAAGATGACCCACACTATCAAATATATGGTCTTTGGTTCTCACCTAATGAAAGAAGCAAAAAAATGTATTTATGGTTAGATTGTGCTCATAACTGGTTGGACACGAGCCTAGCGCATTAAGGTCAAAAGGCATTTAAGCCACTGAACTCACTGGAGCAGGATCATTAGAGTGTGGACAGCAATTCAGACCTATCCTTTGACCTACCATCAGCTGACATGAAAAGCAGAGGACCAAGCGAAAGAGGCTGTATGGAAAGCTGGGCTGATTCTGCTACGGGGAATGAAATAACCATTTTTTTCCTCCACAGAAGAGAGATACTTCTCCCTATATCCCATTGAGGATTATTTTTCTGATTTACTCTCTCCTCTGAGATGTCACTCAAGAGTGCTCTTCCAGCTCTTCCATGAGCAGAAGCAAATAGAATCAAAGTGACAACAAACCAGCTCTACCTTTTCTGTATCCAGAAGTGTATTACTAATCAAATTCAGTATTTAATGTTAGGGGTTATTTTTCTAGCAATATAATAACAACTCAAAGGTTGTTATTAATTATCAGCACATGGACTAACAACTATATTTAAATACTGCACTTCTATGTGCAGTATTTCCTTCTATATACATTACTTTCCATGGTACTTCGGTGCTTATCAAGTTCTTGAATTGAACTTTCAAACCTACTGAAGTCACTGTCAAAATTTAAATTAACCTGGATGGAATCAGACCGGTTCCACTTCCTGGCATGCACCCATGCATTTTGACTGAAATATTGTAGCAGCTCTGAAATTTCAGTATAAGAAATGTTCATACCTTGCCCTCAGGATCCACCAAGAGCAGATGTTTTGCTTGCCCTCCCTGAAGTCCACTGAGGACATACTGACCAGGTGACGTTGTGCTCTCTCTCACCAGAAAATCCCCATCGTTGACTAAGAGGCTCTCTGCTGCTTTCCTGTTTAATTTGCCATGGTAACAATCTTCATTCTTTAGCTGTTGCTTTATTTGTGGCAGAACACAGAGACCAGCTGTGTTGCTTGTGGCACTCTGCTGAACAGCTTCCAGTAATTCTAAAATTAAATGAAAGAGAATGTATTGGACATGTCACCTAGAACTTCATCCTAAAAGGATGCGAGACTATTTTTTATAGCTTTTAAAAAATCCAAATGGCTCAATCCTGAAGCTGTGATCAAACCAACCTTACAGTCAGTAATAATACGCACACATGAATGCTCACAACCCTCCAGTGCATTAGGTAAAATTATCACACCATCTCCTCCCATCCCTTAGATGGGAAAGCCTTGGGTCGCTAGGCAACAGGGATAGGAAACAGGAATTTTTCTGATGCTCTGATGTTTTGGTTTTTTATTTCTTTGGTTATATTAAAAAGTAAAATCTTCCCTGTAAAAACAAGATTTTTATTGTGGTTTAGACACTTTTTTCTTTTAAGATCTAGTTTCTCCTTTTTCCTTAACAAGCTCTGAAGAGGTTGTCATGGATCATTGGGAGAATCACGTTGAGTGGCTCCAGCTATGTGCAGGAATGCAAGACAACATGGCCAACATAGCCAGAAGGGAAGGATTACAGCATGATTACTGAACAATTACTGAATGTACTAACAAAACTGGGTGGTTTGGGATATAGCCAGTCAGACTGCAAATGATTCACAGGCAGGATTTTTCTAAGGAAAATAAGAGGATAGTGCTTCTTCAATGGAATTGTGCAACCTAAGGCTCCTCAGGATATAGCCAGTTCCTTTTAGAGCATAATACAGCCCCGGGTTGGAAATGTCTCAATGGTCATAGATTTCCTTTACTGTAGTTCTGTCCAGTCCTTTGCCCACTTTCTTGTGTGGACCCAACTCCGACAGAGAAAACACTCGCTGGGAAACTATAAAAGGCAAAGCTAATAAATAAAGTATTTTCAATAATGAGGACAATCAGTAGCAACTATAAAGTCATTTAATGGATATCCACCTCTGAGTCTGTAAATCAAGATTTAATTTTACATACATTTAATAGAGAGTACTGATCAAATGGTTTGATTTAGAAATTATTGGATGAGATTCAATGGTCACTTATACAAGAACTGAGAAAGATGGTCATAACAATCCCACTTTAACCCTGCATGCTACTGCCTGTGAAGCAAAGGCATCCGAGGCCTCTTCCACCTTAGAGTGGTTAAGATCTTGAGCATACAGGAGAACCCCCTTCCTTGAGGTATGGTGCAGTCCCAGGCTTTCATATCACCTTAAAGATTTGCTTATTATTACCTCTGGAACATTATTTATTGTCATCAATCAGCTACAGAAAATGAAAGATTATTCTGCTTGCTTACCATCACAACTGTTACTCTTTAATCCCCCTTGCCTTGAATTTAACAAGCAAAAACACCAACCAGGAAGGATTTCTTCTCCCATCTTTTCTATATATCTTAGGGGGAAACCAGAATCTTTCTCAGTGCACACAGATGACAAGACCCCCTCTTTTCAAAGCTTAGAAATACATGGTATTGCAATGGGAACCTACTGGCCTGACGCAATGGGCTCCCATGGATCTGTGCTGTTGCTGTACCACGGGCTGTACAGACTGCAGACTGCAGGGTCTGTGTGTTGATGTAACACGGATCATCAAAGAGATCTGTTTTGTAGGCAGGCTTCAATAATGTTGCCTCTTTTTTTGTCTTCTGTGATCTTTCACCACAATTACCTGCAATTAGTATATAGTATGCACAGATTTCCTTTTTATTTTAAACTCAAGTTAAAATAACTGTAAAAGCTGAAATAGGAACATTGTTGTTCTTATATATCCCACTAAAGTCATTCAGAAGGAAAAGAAAAATTGTCAGATGAAACTCTTGTTTCCTTATGGCTAGAAGGCATGAGGTACACTATCCAAAATGAGTTAGAATGAAGTTTTAAAAAATGTTCTGCACTGGTTCAGTTCTGCTTCAATCAATGTCAGCAGTAAACTCCCCACTGATTGCAAAGAAATTAATACATAGGACTCTACAGAGACACAAGCCATATAAGTTGCTTGTTGCGAAATCCTTTCCTTCCCCTCTGCACCACAAAAAAAGCTTGTGGGGAGCTGAATTCTCTCTCTTGCTATTCTGGTGGAGCAGGGAAGATGGAGGAGGTCGGCACTTTGTGGCTCTGCCTGGAGAGCCAAAGCCACATCTGTCAGGTTAGGATCCAAGCCTAGGAACAGGCTAACAGAATATCCCCTGCAGGGTATGAAAATAATAGCACTTCAGCTAGCCAAATAGCACACATAGTTTTGCTCTTTAGCAAACATTTTATTCATAGATCTATTCATTCATTCTTTTATTTGTTCACCCTCTCTTTGTAGAAACCATTTGATTCTCCTTTCCTTAAATCAGAAGTAGCACAAGAAACTGAGCTATCCCCTGCAGACAGCGTAACGGATCACTTCAGAGCAGTGCAGGTGGGAATTCAGGAAGGACCTCATTGTGCAGTGAAAGAGATGAGCTGAAGAAATGTGCTCAGGGCATCAGCTGTAGCAAGGGAAGTCCAGAAAGGGATGGAGGCTGGTGATCTCTGGGGACCCAGAGAGCAGGTTTTGCTAAAGGCAAATTGATCTGGGGCACAAAGCTGCTCAAGGCAGGGGAAGGGCATGGTCACCTTGAGGAGCGAGTGATGCTGGAACCAAGGGCACAGGCTCTGTTGGAGCAACCACTCAACGCTGGTAATTTGGGTCTCATCGAGCATTTGTAGGGGGAAGGGGTATTTTCAGAGACTGATAAGCAATGAAGTATCCTTGTTTTTCAGAGTGTGAAAGGGAATAAAACAACAAAGACTATGAAAGAGAATAAAAAAAACCCAAAGAGCTACTGTACAGTATCAAGACAAGTAAAACAAGTAAGTCTGCCAGCAGACATGAAGATAGATTAGTGACCTTTAGAAAAGCTGTTAGGCTTTTCTGTCTGCCCTTCATCTAGGGAACTAGAAATGACCCACCAAGTAGAAGACTTTTCACCACTGTATGAAAAGCCAAGGGGCAGCTCTTCCAGGCAGTCTGCCTTGGTTAATTCTGCATATGCATGAGAAGGAAAACAGAGTACATACCCACAGTTTTGTTTGCTTCTGGGCAATTTTCATATATATTGATGAATGTTGGGGTGCCTGTCTGTAGAAAAATTGTAAAAACAGTCACATAAAGCAATATCTTAGAAACCCCAGGTAACTTTAAAACATCCATGCATCAGTTAATTGGGATACAGGTAACTAAATGTATCTTCTTCACCAAAAGATTCCTATCTCCTCAAATAATATTTCATGCTGATACTTGTCTTTCTACAGGGTGTCATGTCTGGACATACTCCAGCCCCATTAACTGCCTAGTTATGTGTCTAAGGCTTAGTATATACAGTATAACTCCTAGGTAATAAAGTTCAGATTTTCATTTCTATAAATGTTCCTTGCAATAAAAACAAGGAGAAATAACTACAGACATCACGGTTTGAAAGTGAAATGGTCACCAGAGTTGTCTGAGCAGCACTAGAAGGTCATCAGAACTGAAAGGAAAAACAAAAAATAACACCCCATGTCAAAAAGGCATTTGCATGTACATGCCACAGGGTAACTCCTTGCAGTAACTCTGGCGAACTTGGGATGCAAACTCAGGATATAGTCAAACACCTTTTTAGAGAACTATTGGGGAGGCGGAGGCCACCAGGCCCACAGCCAAGATGTGAAGTATAGTTGAGGTTAACAAAGCAAAAAGTGGATGGAGCATTAGCACAGGAACCTGGGAGCAGTTGCCACCAGGCACAAAGAAGACTTGGAAGCAGCAACTTTTTAGACAATAACAACTGGATTACAGCGGTCTGGGTGCGCTCCCTCCGAGCAAAGCAGTGGTGCCTGCTTCCTTGAGTGGGGAAATGCTGGTGTTTCCATGAACTGGCACAGCAGGCTTCAAAGTCTGTGCAGCCAGTCTGAACTCAGCTGGTTTTACTCTCTGACTGATTGGTTTTTATTCCCCACTATCTATCTCAGACAAGAGCCACAAATACATGCATCTTTTGCTACTGTGGCTGATTTAACAGAGCCTCCTGAAACACGCCAAGGGTAATTAATGTTGTATATACATTGCAGTCAGTTAATGTTGTATGTATAGGTTGTAGAGCATAACAGACAGGATGAAATATTTATCAGATCACAGAACTGGGAGCCAGGAGGTCCCAGATTTTGCATTTGTTCTCTCAGACAAGCTATTGAAATCTGTATCTATTTTCTTCTCACAGCTAACAAATGAACAAGGAAATATTACTCGCTCTCCTAAAAGTACTCTAAGGACAAACCAGTTAATATTCAGAAAGTGCTTTGGGATTCAATTATGTACTAAGCATCATTAAATCTAGCCTAAAAACCCCTTTCCCAGGATAATCAGGACCTGTTTCTGATGTTAATGCCATGCTTTACACCACAGTAACACTTTATTATTCATACCCATAATAGGCAGCGAATAGTTATCCCAGAAGATGATGTACTTACCAAGCAATGCTGCTTTTTGCACTGTGTAAGAAAGTCAGCCCTTTGCTCTGTTTGCGCTTTCATTCGCATGTCTAACACTCCACCGGTGGGAGGATCTTTCCCTGGAATTTCATTGTAATATTCATGCTCCTCCCTATCCTGTGAATTCCCAGCTGATCCATTAGCATTTGCTGCCTCACTGAAAAAAAAAATATATATATAAAAAAAAAGCAACTGATGTAATCAACTGCTTTCTAGTGTAGGCAAACATCCCCAGTGTGTGTGCATCGCACAATACACAGATTAGCCATATGGAGGCTGTAAAGGGCTTTGAGCCTGAACTTTCAGAGCTGTTTATTTTTCCAGTTACTTCTTCCTGAATTAAAAATTGAGTCATCACAGTTTGGGGTAGAGGGAGGTACAGTAATTTTCTTAGCATCAGGTAGCCAAGATCCCTTTTCTTTGACTCGAAAATATAAGAGCCACCTATTGAAACTTTAAGAGTGCCAATGCATCATTCATTATTGTGTCCAAAATAAAGATCATAAAACTAATTCCTCTGGCTTCTTGTCTTAACTGCATACATCTAGAGATGGCTGGGGCAGGGTGGACTTACAAGAGAAAATTAAAATCTCATGGCATTTAGTTAGACAAGCCTGCAACCTTTTTAGAAAATCAAATATTGCTACCAAAATTTAAAAAAAATGTTTCCCTGAGTGGAATGTACCCTGATTTTAATAACCATAATCAATATAACTGTTCTGTTTCAGCTTGAAGAAAACAATGAATGACACAAAGGAGAGCACACGATGCTTTTCTTGAGTTAAGCCAGGATTATGATAGTTTAAATGTACAGCTGATACACTGCAAAACAACTAGGTGCTTCCTCTACTGTCTCCAGCCCCGAAATAAAAAGCTCATCTCAAATCTTACTTCTCTGTTTAACAAGAATATAATTGGATAAAAGGCCTCGAGCAGGAAAGAGATAAAGTTCAAGTAGCTGATTATGTGATATGCAGTGCAAGTATTTGATTATGTGATTCATAGTAGTTTGGAAGTGACTCATTCACACAGCAATATCTGACTTCCCTGCCTGGGGACCGTTCTCCGAGGCTGGCTGTGGGTCAGGCTCAAGGAGTGAATCCAATTAGCCACTTCCATCTCTCCTTGCTCTGATTTACTTGTGGCATAACCTAGCAGAGTACTATAAGCATATCCAAAGCATCCTATTTATGGATCGCTCTTTGGAGGATATTATTTTCCTGAGAAGTACTAAAGAGAAGGAAACCGACAGTTAAATGACCGAGAATGTGCTGACCTTTCATTAGACGTAGCCAGGCTAGATGGGTTCTTCAGGTACTGTTTGAACCGGAGCTCAAAAGCCTGCCCTATGGTGTTTATCACCTCCTGTGCCATCCCATTGGGACATTCCAGTATGTGGCATGCTGCAAAGAGACACCTTACTTTAATTAACTAAATGAAAATTGAAAATTGTACATAACATTGAGCTATTCAGTAGCTTTCTTATTTTAAACCTCAAACAATTCCTTGGTACAAATAAAGCAATCATATAAACATGTATAACAATCTGTAAATTGTTTCCATACCTCTCTGATTAACAGGATCTTTTGCTACATATGCAACATAGTCTGTTGTATCCTATAGGAAAGAAGACAACAAATGTCTTTAAAATTATCATTATGAACAACCCTACCACCATAGCAAAGCAATTGAGTAGAGAGAGATATATTTTTAGCTTTAAAAAGTGTGCTTCTTTCAAGGAAAACAACCAGGGTGCTAGCAAAGTGGGCTAAAGGAGAGATCAGTGACATACTGGTGACTATCCACACACTGATTGTCCTGGAATCTTTTTCTTGTAATAAATGCACTAGATCATTTGGCATCCTTTGGGTCTTCAATAAACTGTTTCAATTCCAAACTCTGCAACAGGAGTAGAAACACAATTGGTGCCTCATCACCAGGCAATGTTACTCTCTTCCACTGCTCCCACAGAGCCTGAAGCCTCCCCTGCCTAATGCATTAGGGCTGTGTGACTCTCAGTCCCACCTTTTAGCTGGGACAGTCCTTATCAATATCAATGGAAGTTAAAATAGTGCTAAAATACTGCAAAGGGCAAGTCAGAATATTGATGATCTGTAGCATGAAAACTGACTTTTGAAGGCATCTTAGAGAAAAGTTGATCTTTAAAATACTGCAGACTGCAATAGGTATCTGATCTCAACTGCTGCAGTTTAGTCCAGCTACAATCAGGTTAAATTACTCTGGACCTCAAGGCTGCTGCTGAGATGAGACAACCTCAGTCTAATCAGTTGTCTCTTTCAGATTCTCTTTCCAGCCAACACTGAAATAATCCTCACTTTTTCTAATCAAACTGAAAAGGAAATTGGAATAGAAAAAATTAACATTTCTTGTCATACTGCAAAAGCAAAGTCTCATTTGATAATTCAGTGTTATAGTAAAAATGGTAAGGTAATGAATAACATTCTTTTAATTATTAAAGATGCATTTTGTTATTTTGGATCTTTAAGGCGGGATGGGGAAAATGCAATTTGCAGCTTAAAGGCATGGCTCTCTTGAGGGAAGATGCAATCAGCTGGCAGGAAGCAAGGCCCCCATTTGCAATATGCACAAGAACAATCATTTAATAATTCACAATGAATGACATGAGAGGCAGATCTTACAGCCAGCAGAAGTTGTCCAGATAATTTTTTTTAAATCTCCAGAGTTAATATTATTAAAACAAAGAAAACTAAGTAATTTTTATGCATTTAGTGAATTCAATTTCCTTCCTTTTCCTTTCAGGTTTTTCTTAAAGTTCATAAATATTTTAGCATACACTTTTAAAATAAATGAGATCTAGAGAGCAAGTAGAAACTAAAGTACCTGGAGCAGTACCTGCTATTTTTAATATCTTTGTAATGTTTATGTACATGCATGGATGACTTTGCTTTGAAATAAAGCCAGAATAGGCTTTATTCTCAGGCAGAATATTGCTACCCCTTAACAGTGCAGAGCAACACTGAACTGTGCTTAGACCCTGAACGTGGGGGCAGGTGGAAAGACATGTCCTGTGGAAACTATCTCTCATTTGCAAAAATTACCTGAACAAGCCACCAAAATTGCCCCTTATGTGAAGTGTCACTAGATGTATAGTTACCACCACTGAGCAAGACCTCCATTTAACATGTCCTCCCAGTAAGAAAAGTGTCACCAGCTGCACCACCAAGCCCATTTCCTGCAGCACATCTATGTGCAAGCACATCTCTTGGTGGTCCTGCCATTAAGCGCTGACCAGACCCAGCCCTGTGTAACCTGTGAGATCTGACAGGATCACTGTACAAGACCAATACAGTAAAATAATTTAAAAAAAAAAAAACAACACACAACTAAAAAAGGTAAACAAGCCCTAGAGAATTACCCATCCAACCTGCTGAGGAGAGATCTGAAAATATATCCCTAAATCTTCAAAACTGGAAATGTTACATAAAGACAAACTAGACAGCCAGCACCTAGTACATGGTGCATACTTCAAAAACAAGTCAGCTTGAGGATATATTTAAATCATTTAATTATCAAGAGAACTGGCATTTGGAAGTGAAGCTTTGTAACGCTCAGCAGAACAGCACAGCAGCTCTTGGAGCCGCCTGGAAATCCACATCAGGAAGGGTCTGCAAAGCCCAGGGACTGTATTGTACAGTGTGGTGTATTAGGACAGCACAGGCACCTAAAGGTGAAATCTGGACTTCTTAGACTCCCAAAATGCCTTAATTATTAGATGGGATCTTTAAGGATGTAGCACTTTGGCACTAGGGCTGTGCTGTACCTCCCTCCTGTGTGCAGGACCGACAGCACAAAGCCTGCACACGTGCTCCCTCCACACTCCCCAGCCCAGCTCCGAAAGCTCCAATTCTCAGGCAGCATCTCTCTGAGCAGAGCAGCTGGGCTCCTCACATCAGCCACGTGGCCCTCCAGAGAAGATCCAGCCACATAGGGATGGTTCCCAGCTATTTTCCCTTGCCTGCTCCTAAACCCAAAGAGGCAGATCTGTCATTTTCCAGTCAAAGCTGGATCTGGCTTACACCCCAGTATTATCAAGAGCATGACCCAGAGCCTTCTGTTTAGCCTGTTTCATAACACCAGAACAGGGAGCCATTTAACAAAACTGAAGGGCAGAAAATTCAAAACTGATTAAAAAAAAAATACTGTTCTCCTAACACATGGAGTGTGAAATTCAGAATGCTGGCAGGGCTGGGCTTGCTTAGATTTGAAGAGGGAATAGGGCATGTTTAGGGATGCTTACAATCATTGCAACGAAGAGTTGGGATGAGGATAGAAAAACCTCTTGCACAACAACATCAGTGAGCTCATTACTGACAGAAAAACCCTTATCTGCAGGAAAAAGAAGGTTGTACCATTTCCGTCTTATAGGAGCTTTGCTTGACTCAAAATTAATCTAAAATTTAGAGGTGCTGGTGCTGACCACTTCTGTCCTATGTTCATGTGTTTTTATTTTTAGGTCCCCAAGTCTGGGGTCTTTGGAGTCAGTGGGGGCTCACTGATGGAGAATGGGAAAGGCAACTATATTGATCTACCAAAGATCCACTGTGTCTCTATTCTAAGTTTCCTTTCCAGTCTCAGTCCCTCAATTTTCTCATACTACTGGTCACGATCCAGAAGTGTGGTGTATTCTGTTAGTGCTTGTGGGTAGGAAGGGATGAAGCAAAGTATTTGCAGGTACTTTTATTCTCATAATAATTTCATTATACCTGCGGAAGTATATCTTATAAATCAATACTTACTGGGTCACCTCCAGAAGCAAATGAGATGGACTGCATGTGATGGTTGGCAATAATCTGAAAAGCATGACAAACTAGTTAAACGTGCCCATGTGCCACACATTTAGAAAACAGCAGAGCATATATCTTCATAGAGCAAGCAATTAAGTTCATGACAACTCAATCCATTAATACATGCACATATGATTTGTGAAGGAAGGAGATTAAAAATAGGAATATTTTTGAGACTACCTATTCATGTTTAGTAATGTCTAGATCCCTGAGTAATCTTCCTTAAAGGGTTTTCAGAATGATTTCAAACACCAACTTCTAACCCTTTCAGAATGAAGCTAAATGAGACTTTGAAAGAGGAATAACTGGAGACACCGGATGCATTTACAAAGTCTTGAAAAATTAATTCATTTTAATTTATTTAAATACATGGTGTATACAACAGTAGCATTTTTATGAACAGGCCTCACTGATACTCTGATCACATTCTCTCTCAGCCCTAGCACCAGACTATTACCTGGTAGAGATTTCACTAGCCATCAACTTTTCATGGTTTCAAACACTACCTCATCTCTGGAGACAAACTGTACTTTATTATAAAATCAAGTGCAATAGATTATGCAGGTGGGAAGACAATGAAACATGCTGGCAGTGCAAGAATAGAATAAATGGGATTTTTCCATTAGTAATGAAAGACCCAGAAAGAATTTCAAGACAGCCCCTTGCACACCCGTGTGTGCAGTGACAGAGCACATTACTGCATGTGGAAAGAGATTTTCCTGGCTGGCTTTTAGTCCTGTAACAAGCAGGAACAGATTAAAAGGACCATACTTTACCTGCCAGCCCCCAGAGCTTTGCCTGATGTAGGGAAGCCCTTTGCTGCTGTACCTGAAAGGAAGGGAAACCTGGTGCCATAGACCCTTCCTAGTGCAGAGGTGCAAGGGACAGAAGACCCAAGAGCTGCCTGACGCTGAGCATGGCACCAGCTCAGTGTAGTGATTCCTCAGAGCCAGTGAGCCAAAACTACCTCCCTGATGTTCCCTGGCTCCAGCTGGGAGCAAAACCCACTGCTGGCCCTGGGCGAGATCGTGCTGCGAGCTGAAGCCAACAGCTGACAGAGGAATTAGGTGGGCAGGACAAAGCTTCTCATCACATCTGCCAAGAAAGGAGCACGCCCCAGTTCCAGGGCAGATCCAGGCTCTTGGGAGCACATCTCAATGGAGCTCAGAGACTTTGCATAGTATAACTGGTTATGCACATATATTACTCAACTGTAAAATAGGTTTGAATGACACCAAAGCCAAGCTCTGACTCATTATTTGTATCAAACTTTTTTCCCTAGGACATGTCAGAAACTTCAGTCAGGACTAGTACCTTATTTACTAGTCACTGTTCAAGCAGAGACACACACAGAGAAACAGTCTGCCAAGTGCTTAAGGATCCATCCCCATAGAAGACATCATCATAAACAAAACGGGCTTGTGCTGCAGGTCCAATTCATCCAAAGCACTCTCATTTTTAAATTCAGAGGCATCACATAATTCAGCTTTACCAGGCATGCACAAGAAGACTAAAGGGTGTTGCTTTCCCTTCAAAGCACCCAGCTTTTCCTTCAGAAGTCACAAAAGGAGGAGAATACAGTAGCATGGAGAAAAGGACACCAATTTATATGTATCCTACCTGCTGCGTGTCAACATTAATCAAAGTGAGGCTGCTTGTTGAAATGGTCAGCTTTATATTCATGCCAGAAAACTGAAGGTTACTTTTGCCAAGTACCGAAGACAGAAACTTCACTGGAGGCTTTGAACAAAGCAACAAAAGAAAGAGGCTGTCAGCTGAGTCTGTCAGGGGTGGAAACACATCAAAGTCAAGTAGATTTTACGATATCTTATTGAGAATTTCAATGGAGCAAGGATAATGGCTTGATCAAATGCAAAGAGATCTTCTAACAAATATCAGCTTGGAATACAATACTTGTAGGCATGGTTTTTATGTCAATAATGGGAAAAAAGTTTTGAAGCAAAATCCCAGTGAGCTAAAAGTTATAGCTGGC